GAGAATACTCACAGTTTATAAGAATGAGAGCTATTACAGAAAAGAGAAAAAAAGATGAGATTTTACAGATAGATCTGAGATATTTATACTACTTTAAAGAGATTTGCTTACACTGTGAGTAATTCTGTAAAACAGTCAGATCACTCTAGTAAATAAAGAGTTATTATGAATTACAGATCTGAATCTTTCTATATAACTATAAAGAGTGATTGCAGACTGTAAATATCTTGATTCTACAAATCTACAGAGTTAATAAAAGAATGAAAAATTCCTCACAATTCTACAGTGTCAAAGAATAATGATTTATAAGAATGAGTGAAAGATTAACTTGTAAATGCTTTTCTTTAATAAAGATAATCTTATAGAGAGTGATTTATCTATGAGATAAATCTGTGTAATAATTATATAAGAATCTTATAAAAATGATTAAGAGTCAACTGAAGCTCTTCTGTATAAAAGATATGAGATGAATCTGTATAATGATCAGAGAATAATCTATAGATTATAAAGAATCTTATAGAATAAGAAACTGAGTGACAGACTCTTTTTTCTTTATAATAATAAGAGATTTTTCCTCACTGAGGTTTTTTATAGATATAAAGAGTTTTTAGTGAGTATTACTGCAGTGCTGAGCTGATTCTATGAAGTCACTCAGTGAAAGACTTCACAGACAAAGTCTTAGAGAGAGAGAAATATATAAGAAATTCTGCTTCTTATGAATTCTTTATCTCTATTTCTATCTCTTATATAATTAATAGAGTTAGCAGCTCTTGACTATATATAACTATATAGACTGAAGTTTGCAAATACTATTCATAACTCAGCTTGAATGCTATTATATATTTGACTTCTACATTTTATCTTTCTACTGCAAATACTTCTAGTAGTTAACAGTACATATCATGCCAAGCTGCAAACATCAGAATAATCGCCTGCGAGCACTTATTCTTACATTTCTTGTGAATACTGATTATTTAAAAAGAGTCTTCATGATATTGATTTCTTATTCTGATATATGATATTATCTCAAGACGTTTGAAGAGACAGATAAATAATCTACTAATAAGAAGAAATTATTCAATCTTTAGCATGTCAGTTTACAGAGTGTAATTAAGTGAGTTTTTAAAGTATTTAAACAGTGATTTCAAATATATAATTAAGAAAGAGATGAATTCTTCATTATCACTTAAATCAATTTTGTTTTCACATTGATAGTACTTTATAACTTTATAAATAAGTATGATGACCTAGATAATATTAATCTGAAGAATTTGAATGACAAAATAAAGTCAGAACAGTTAAATATAATAAATGAAAGAGAGAATAGTAATAAGATGATTAGAAGAAGAGATCAGATTGCAGAGAAAATATGAGAGTTCTATAAGAGATATATTAAAAATATGAAAGATTAATCAGAAAGTCACATATAATTAATATATAAATCAAGATTACTTACATATATCTTAACAAAAATAGTTGAATTCTACACATGATTTCACTTTTAAAAATACAAAATGATAATATATTGATGTATTCATTGTATATAATATCATATTATAATTTATAAGTTAATAAAATGCTTTAAATTATCTAATCATCTTACATAAAAAGTTGTGATGTTTTAAAATATATATTTATAAGTGTAATTCATTATTATTGTAATATTGAGTAAAATTCAGTAATGTTCTTGATTATTTTGAAAGAAATAAGATACAAAAAGAATGATTTAAAAGTATTATTACTACTACTCTTATTACTACTCTTATTACTACTCTTATTACTACTTTTATTACTACTCTTATTACTACTCTTATTACTACTTCTATCACTACTCTCATCATTACTTTCATTACTACTTTTATTACTACTTTTCTCATTATTTCTTTTACTACTCTTACTACAGCTGTGGTATTTTATTCAATATCTGTATAATATTTTCTTATCAAACACTGATTCAGTTATATTTCAAATCTAGATACAGCTGAGCTTCTTGAATATTGAGAAAACAGTGTGAAATTATAGTATATTATTGATAAGAAATCTCACTGTCAATCTTTCAATCTTCTAACAGTAGATTCTGCATCTCACTTATAAATAGCTTAATAACTTACTCAGTTTCTCTTTCAACTTCAATCTGTATATTAATCTGACTGAGACTGTTTACAGCTGCAGTCAGATTTTAAATATTCTTATTAATATTCTCTGATTTTAAGTGTTTTTTTATATGATTGATACTTCTGAAGACTGATAAATTTATTATAAAAGATAATAAACTTTCTTCAGTTTCTAAATCTGTTATAGAAGATTCTCTCATTTCAGATATTATTATATAATATTGAATTATAAATTAATTAGTAATAAGTCTATTAATAAGCAATTCTTCAGTAAGTTCTTGAAATTCAGAATTATATTCTTAAAAGATTTCAAGGTCAGAATGTTTGAAGAAATACTTATTTATAATCTCTTTATCATTAATATAGATTTTATATCTGTGATTATATATTCAGTCAGATATCTGATTTTTATATCTTATTCAAAGTATTTAAATATATTTAATCTCTCTTTACTAATTATTATATATTTCTTTGATTATTATTCAATCTATTGACTGCTTGACAGTCTGTGTGATAAGATTTCAATTCACAGATTTGAAGTTATTATTATCAGTATTTAATTCTTTCTTTTTCATCTTCAAGTGTTTAGTAAGCAGAGTCTTTTTCATTGTAAGACTTCATAATATTCTGAGATATCTGATTTAAGAAGCAAGTATTCACTTTTGAGAGATAGTAGATGTTTAATAAGAGAGTGTTTCAGAGTGTGTTTAAGAGAGTGTTTGAAAGAGTGTTTGAGAGAATAATAATAATTGAGAATCTGATCATTGACTTAGTGAGATTGAAATTATAGATATTTGAGTATTATTATTTTTCATTTTTAGATATTATATTGAGATATTATACTGTAACATTCTTATTCACTGCTTTCATGAATTCTAGCTAATAATGACAGTTAAATATAGATAAATCAATCATAGATTTGAGAGAATATGATTTCAACACATCTGTGTTGATGAATGTGAAATTAAAAAAAAGCCAGTGTGAAGTGATCTCAATTATGAAATAGCATGGTGATGCAACACCGGCTTGCTACTAAATAATTGATAAATATGCTATTTTTAATGAGATCCACTATTGTGTTCAAAAAGTACGGACGCACCGAACAGGCCCTAATCCTCAAGGAAGGCGACGCAACACCGACTTTTTTGTGCAAAACATCGCAAGTATGTACGGTACAGATCCGCAAGTGTGATAGTGGCTTATAGTGGCTTGCACTAAATACAACCCACTGCGTCATTTCTCCGACCTCAAAAAAGCTGTTTGCAGTATCCATCTCTATGAAGCAAATCTATCAGTGCTAATGCCCTTTCCTCTCTCGCAGATTGTATGCACTAAATCATTGAAACTACTAATCACAAGATATCTTAGAAGCAGCAGATATTCGGGACGACTCAGGGGCTTTGTCCGATGAATTGGGGGGTCGGGGGGGATAAGGAAGGAAGGAGATATATATGTACTGTACCATCGCAAGAAAAAAAAGAGTCCGCTGACAGATTGCAGTTACATACACGGAGCATTATTGAACACCTTCATCATTACTGTAGTGACTGGGCTGTTCTTTGAATCAAATCCTGATATTAAGCTATCCGCCCGCCCCCTCTCCTTTCCATGAAGCCTGGTCCCAGCCGGTAATTAAGTCGGCGTCTTACATACATAAAAAACTACTGTCCCTAGGGGGTAAGTATCGGACCAGCACGGCATCTGGCTTACGGTCTGACAACGGGTGCGGGAATACGGGAAATCAGTCCCGCGCGAAAGACCTCAACCTTAACAGAGTCTATATCGAGTCATCGACGTTGTCCTGCGTATGTATGCATGGATGTGGTGAAATCGGCGAAGTTAAAACGGATCTTATGCCAGACCAATCCTGCTGATTGGCCAATTCCCCTGCCAACCTTCTAAGTCTCTGGCTTGAGATTAAACAGGTGCCGACTCCCTGCTGTCGCGCAGCTTAGGTTGCCGAGTGGACATATATCGTCAACCTGTACTGTACGTCATAATATCCCTGCCTATAAAACTTCAGGGCGACCCCCAGTTCTGCTGAGGATGGGGCTGGGCTGGTCTTCTGACATAGTTACTCTTCTTCATCTTGGATCTCCTTCAGATAACTATTCTGCGCCGCTCAGCTGTCCATTACTCTTCATGGTTGAAATAACATCCTTTCATGGGTCCCTACTTATGCTGACCGAGGGCCTGACAATTTCTTCAATGTCACATCGCTGTTGCATTCAAAAATCTCCGTGAACAGAATTTGGGCCGTGCCAGCATGGGGAGTGTTGGGTGGATGGATGTACTATAAGTACCCCTCCCCGCGGATTGATAATGGATGCCTCTTGTTAAATGAGAGTTGAAATACAAACCGCCTTGATCCCACCTCCCTTACATCTGTGCCCACAAGCTCCGGTAACATGTTGTTTTCCACAGTCTTCCTCAAGTATGCTGTTGTTCTCCTGGCCACGCGAGCTGCGGCCATGCCGACGACTGTGACTGGCTTTGAGCCCGAGCCTCGCCATATCTGTTTTGATGAAACTCCCAAGCTGCATTGCTATAATGGAGGGAATGACATCCCGCAGAATGTCGCAGCAGAAGATGTCAGCTTCATCGCAAGCTATCTGCGTGCCTATGGTCGGCAGACTAGAATTGGTCGATGTATGGGCTAATAACTTCCTTATTATTCATGTACATGTGCTTGGGTTGCCATCGTGCCCAACAGGCATGTTAAAGATGCCAAAATTGAAGCAGATTTTCTAACCCGTTTACTAATAGTGTTCACCATGAAGGCGGCCGATGCGCCTGACTGTGGAGAATGGGTTCTGTATGCGTGTGGCACAGCAGCAGCCTACGCCAAAAAGATCAACATGACATATGACTCGTCGATCCTCTTTGCCGATATTGCAGACACCATCGATGGTGGCAAGAAGCTGGAGGCTGACAGCATCCTCAAGTGCAACGCTGATGGTGGTTCCCTTGGTACACAGATCGCAGATCTGGCTGCTCCAGCGTACTTGACTAAAGAATATGTCGATGGCCACTTCAAGCCGGACGGCATTATCATAAAGATCGTATCGAACAAAGCGCTTTAGCTTGCGAAGAACAACGTTAACGGGCTTTCTCTTATATGGGATGTATTGTAGTGAAAACTTGACTCTGGTGGCTTAAATGGGTGGCTGTTATTGGAATTATTACTCTAGGGCCTAAAGCCATCATTTCATTCGATGAAGTTCTAAGCTAAATTCAGTTTAGCTCCATGGAGGGGTGAAATATCATGAATGAAGTTTATACTACGATAAGCTGCTCTTCACTCAGTAAATAAAACTACCATCGCTCCAGTGGCCTACATATACAAAGGAAAGCAACATGTCAGAACAGGGAAATACAAGGAATTTAAAAAGAGGTATCATACAGAACAAAGTGGAGGGTGTTAGCAGATAAAGTATTCGAGATATCAATGCTGCTAATTTCTTGTGATATCAAACTGTTGGGTAGAATGATATCAGGTCATCCATTATAGCGTGATGGAAATGCCTTGTTTGATTTTCTGCCGTAGTAGTCTCTTGGGGTACAAGATTGAGAGGTGACTGGACTGGATGGAGAGATTGTGTTGAAGACGGAACGAAAGAGCTGTACTGCTGCACACCTATATATATACCCTGTGTGCTGGATTGGAAAAGTGATGGTGCAGGCGTCAGTCTGCCTTTGGCGCCGCCCAGCTACGCTGCGGATGTGAGACCGAGCACAAAACCTCGTCGTTGAGTGGCGTGGGAGGCGTGTCCTTCCAGAGGCCCTATCCATACCCCACGGGTGAGGGGCGATCTGCGAAGGGGCTCGGAGCGAGCCCCTCCCGCTGCACTGCGATAACCTAGTGTCTTCGAGCTTACCAGCGGCCGAAAGGTGATATCCAATGAAGACCGTGTTTACCGTGCATCCACAACACATCCACTATCACTAACTTAGATAGGCTACGGATGTCTTGAAGCGGTTCACGCTTGCGAGCAGATTCCCAGCGCAGGGTTCAGGTACCCATGAATTCGAAAGGGAGTATGGAGGATCAATTCCGCAAAATTTTCAGGATGGGCTACAATAGGTGCTGTAGTGGGACGAACTGTGTGTAACCATCAATATTGAGCAGTTTTGACGAATATAAACTGTTTATTGCAATAACCCTTTGCGGAGGAGATGAAAATGGGCTGTACATAGCAAATGAAAAGTGGCTGAGCATATCGGCCGTCGATCTTGAGCCTCGCTTTTCAGTTTCCAGGCCGTCCTGGCCGAAGAGAAGGGTTGGCCGAAAAAGGGCCCGATACCTGGAATAGACAAACCTCGTCTATGATTATTGAAGAGTGGGATTATTATTTTCAACTCGATCTAGCTAGTGGAGGCTTACTACGACCAAAGTAGAAACTTTTCTCCCATTGGGTATTAAGAGTTTCCCTCCAAGTCGATAGAGGTGGTTATGTGCGGGTTCCTGGCTCCAATAATTGTATTTACGTGGCATGGCACCGCACAATTGGGCAAGGGCAACATGACTCACAATTACCCGCGGAGGAGGCGATGATCATTCCGCGCGCTCTGAATCTTGCTGAGCAGCATGCATTAGTGAGCGGAACGGCCCGGAACGCACGGGACGAGCTATTCCCGGCGGCCTTGGCATGGCGGTTACTTATTGTCATGGGCTGCAAGCTGTCAGACGACCAGTTGCTCCTCTGAGTTTACCAACATGATTTGAAGGAAGAATTGTTTGCTGCCTGCATACATCCATGCTGAAAGACATGTGCCACTTGGCCCATCTGTATTGGTAAATGGTACTGTGCCGCTGTTATAAGTTTCTATCATACCACCCTGGCATTTGATCAGTGTCAAAGGTGATATGCTCTCGAACAGGCAAACTTCCAACTGAGCTTGCTTATAGCAGTCTTCCATCCCCAGACCTCTACAGTAAGAAATGGCCCTTTAACTAGAGTGCAAGCATCAGTCTAATGAATTTGAACGCTGCGGTACAGATATGAGCAATAAAAAACGCCTATTTATCTCTATTCACCACCGAGATGAAATGTCTCTTCAAGAGGGAATACGCAAGATGTACGGTGCATACCACTGGGGAGTTTTGTTAGCACCTAAGAAGTCCAACGGCCGCGACAACATGGCATACGACGTTTCGGACGGTGTTCGGTTGGATGGTGAAACTGGGCAAGACCTGAACTCGGAAAGAGATTGGTTCTTCAGGATTAAGAACAACGTGAATCTGTTGGACAGTGGGCAGTTAGTTGGTCGGGTCATGATCGGAAAAGTTCCTCCGCAAACGACAGAAAATGATCTCGAAACCATCCTCAGGGGTGTTGCTCTGCCAGATAAGGAATCAGGAGAAAGATGTCGCCATTGGGTTTGGAATGCCATATCCACTCTACAAAATGAATCAGTGATACCGAACTTTGATATTGAAGAATTCAAAGTCTGGATATTGGATTATGCCAATCAATGCCTCGCCAACCCTAGTCCAAGCAATGTTTGTGATTATAAATAGACAAACTAGTTGCGCGAAACATTTCCTGGTTCATCATAGAGTCTCCAAAGAAGGCGTTCTGCCATGAGCTCGTCCGCATATGAAGGAAGCTTAAGTTTGATGCTCTCGGGCCAGTCCGGCACCTTGAATGAAGTGTAATATGCCTTTGTTAGATCCCAATATTCTGGGTACCAGCCTGCAAGTGCCCAGTCAACAACTCCCACAATTCTGCCATTGCGAATGATAATATTCCGCGGGGCCAAATCTGAATGCGAGAAGAACGTCTGATAATTGTTGCTATGACAAGATGCAATATCTTCCCCAAAAACCTGAGCCGTGTTTTCCAGTGGAACGCCACCCCGTAAAAAAGAGTGGAAGCTGGAATGAGACTGAAATGGGCCGACTAGTTGACTCCCAATACGGTAATCAAGAATGGCACCACCCTGCGCGGACGCAACCACTCCTTCTTTGGGGGGATGAAGTGTTCGAAGTTGAGTCAAGATAGTTGCAATATCATTGAGAATGGTTTCTTTTTCCTTGGGTTTCAGGCCGCGCATCCACAGAGTTTCAAGGTCGGTACCTTGAATGTGATCCATCATTATATATATGCCCCCTGGTCCATTGTATGAACACCGCACTCGAGGAACGGGAATTGTGGTGTGTTCTGAGATGTAGAGAAGCGCTTCAAGTTCTGGGAGCTGGCACGGCCCTTTAATAACATGCTTCCGGCCGACCTTAACAACAGTTGGACCTAGGGATCCAAAGATTGACCGGGCTATTCTAAATCGAGTGTGAAGAATGATGGATTTCAAATCTAATAGCCATTCAAGAACAAAGATGGGGTTAGCATTGTCTCATTAGGTGATAGGGATTTGATTGAGCAAACCTTGTAATGCCATCATTTAAAGCTCTGAGGGTCGATTAAACACAACCGGCCCAGTACACTAGTGTTGGAAGGGATCAAATACATGAAGAAAATGCAGGAAGCAGAAAACTTGACCTCGCTAAGTGCGCCACTTGACCTCGTTATGTAAGCTGACCTCGCAAATGTGGCCCGTGCCACTACCTGACCTCGCTCAATACATCTTTTCTTGTAATTTGAAACCACTCAATTATTTATCATTAATTCTACAATCAATTCTACAATCAATTCTATAATCAATTCTTAATTGATTATAAAACAATTCTTCTCTCATTATAACTTTTATATATGAAGAAGACTTTACTAATTTTATTAATAATTAATTTAATACTGAAATTATTCTTGAATGTAAGAGACCTACACTGAATAGATTAGTATGATATTAATAGATCTTATATAACAAAGAGAAAAACATTAAAGAAGAAAAAGAAAGAGAAAGTATGAGAATCAGCAATTGAAGTGAATATTTATACATGTATGTGATAATGTACACAGTGAAGCTTCAGAGTGAAAGAATATACACATGTTTATAGCAGCTAAGAATTGATGATCAGAATATATATGTTTATAACAGCTGAGAATTGATGATCAGAAATGAGATGATAGAAATCTATGAAGTGTATGAAATAGTCTATATAATTAATCAGATGCAGTTCATCACATTAATCTCTTTTTTTCAGAAGCAGTTTCTATCAGTTAAGAGCTGCTGTTTCAGATAATACAGAACTCAGAGTTCAGATCAGTTAATTATAATGAATCTATTTTATAAAATATTATCAGCTGTAACTATATAATCTCTTATTAAGAATATCTTTAATCTCTTACTTAAGCTTATTATCTTCTTCTAGATTTCTGATAACTGTTAGTTAGAAGTTAGTTAAGAAGAAAATAAGTCAATGATAATACAGCAGAGTAAGCTTGTATAAAAGATATTATAAATCTCTGATACTATATTAAGATAATAGTTATAACTATCTAGAACTTCTATTATTTTATACTTAATATAACAGTAATTCAGTACATAAGATAGATATATAATTCATATATTCTTAAGATTTAATTATACTAAGTCTTCTATCTTATACTGCTCAGCAGAATCTCAGTGAATATTAATTTAATTCTTTTAATCTTGTTTTACAGCTGTTATGAAGACTTCTACTCAGTTATAAGTATCTCAGAGCTTTATTACTATATTATCAGTGATCTGAATCAAACTGCAGAGATTCAGTATAAATTGTGTAATCTCTAGAAGATCTAATATCTTTATGTGATAACTGTAGTCTGTGTGTAAGAAAGAATAAGCTTATATCTGTTAAAATAGCATCTTATTCATTGATAGTAATCTCTGTATGTAGAAGCAGATTATATTAATCATTTTATAAGTAATTATAGAACTTATAAAGATAGTTCTTTATAGTCTGAATTATCTATTCTAATATATTATCAGTCTTGAGATGATAGATAGTTAATAGACAGTATATAATCTTAAGAACTTAATAGATTCTTATTCAGAGAGTGCTTATAAATTAATAACTCTGATTTAATACTATTAATCTTGATAATTTATATATCTGATAGAATAAACTCTGTAAGAAGACTTCAGTGACTTATTCAGTATTTATCTTATTATAAGATTTTAATATTATATCTTTACTTAGTTAATTAATAATAATCAGAATATTTCTATAATTCTTACTCTTAGATAGATTAATAGTGAAGTCAATTACTATATCTTATCAGATTCTATCAGAAATATTAAGTGATTTCAGTAGATCTTTTCTACAGTTCTTTTAAAAGATAATAAAAGAACAGTGATTACAGTTTCAGATAAAGTATCTGATACTGTTTAATATCTCAGATTAATAGAACTCTTAAGAGATTATTCTATACAGTTATACAGTCTGAATAATCAGTTATATACAAATCATGTATCTCTTACATTATCTGAGCGTGTAAGAATTCAAAGTAAGAGACTCAGTATTGTTTATAAAATTATAGAGTGTTATTATCATCAATTAAATATTCTGAGATGTCAGTTCTTATATGTAATTCTGAGAGAAATCAGAATACTTCTTATTATACTGCTTCAGTGAGTGCTTAGAGAAGTTTATCAGTTTAAGCTGCTATATATCATAGCTCATCTAATGTAAATTTGAAAGAAGTTGAGATATCAGTAATAGTTCTAATTAAAGAAGTATATATAGTGCTGTGAGCTGTTTCATCTTGATTAACTAATATCTTCAGATTCAAGAGCTGATGCTCTTAGTTCATTCAGTAAGTATCTATTATATCAGATAATATATCTTACTCTTATTGTAAGAGAGTATCTGTTATTGAGTTCTGACTATCAGAACAGTAGTGTATTATAAAATAAAAGTAACTTAAGAACTCAGATTATCATATCTATCATTCAGTGAGTTTACAGATAGTTATAAAGTATTTAAGATTCTTATAATCTATAACTATTTCAAATTCAGAGATACTTTGAAGTTCAGAGTCTTATTCTTCTAAACAGTGTATAATTGTAAGAAGTTTCTTATCATAGATCTCATAATTGTATTTAACAGAACTTAGTTTCTTAAACATGAAGATACATGATTATAGAACATCTTTATTATTATATTATAATATCACTTCTTCTGTTATATAGTCAGAGAAATCAGCTTCAATAACTATCTTATAATCAGAATTGAATATTATTAGTAAAGAGATATTAATGAACATCTTCTTCATCTGTATAAATATTGCTTCAGTATTTACTAATTATTAAAATACTGAGTCTTTCTTAGTGAGTTCTGTAAGTGATCTTATAATATCTGAGAAGTTTTGTATAAATCACTGATAGAAGTTAGTAAATTTAATGAAGCTTTATATATCTTTCACAGTGTACAGAGTCTCTTATTCAAGAATAGCAGAGATCTTCTCAGAATTCATTCAGATCTTCTTATCAGCTTCTATAATGAAATCTAAGTATTTAGTACTCTTGACTTTGAAATCACACTTATCAATATTAATTAATAGTTCTGCTTCTTATAGTTATTGTAATACTCTTTATATATACTCTTGATATTTCTTTCTGAATTCATTGATGAAGATTAGAATATCATGTAGATAAGCAGATACAAATTTATCAAGAAAGTCTCAGAGTACTCAGTTAATATACTTCTAAAATGTACTGAGAGTATTAATCAGTTCAAAGAGTGTGACTACTTATTCAAAGAGATTATATTATGTTCAGAATACTGTAAGTCACTCATCTTCTTCAGTAATACAGATCTTATAAAACACAGTGATAATATCTAACTTTGTAAATTATTAAGCTTGTTCAATATAAGCTAGAGTTTCATTAATAAGAGATAAAGAATAACAGTCTTTCTTTATTAATCTATTCAATTCTTAATAATTCACACAGAATCAGAGTTCTTTATCTGATTTCTTTGTAAAGAGAATAGAGACTGCAGTGAAAGAGTTGCTAATATATATAAATTCTTCATTTAACAAATTATTAAATATTTTTCAAAGAAGAAGAAGTTCATCTCAGAACATGTTATAAAGAGAGTCTTATAATAGTTCAAAGTTCTTATCATTCTTTTTCTCTAACTTAATACTGTGATTCACTTCAGAATCTTGTAAGAAGAGTATATTCATAATATTATCTTATCAGAAGACATCTAGATATTCATAATATTATTAAGAGAGTTTCATATAAGAATCTGTTATTATAATATAGAATAACTTTTCTAGAGTCTTTTTAATATTAGTCAGACTGATGAAATAGATTAATATATAGTTCTGCTATCAGTGAACTTGTCAGTGACTCTGTCAGTGATTTTGATAATGACTTCTTTTTCAGAGTATTTTATAAGTGTTGACAGAGATCTGTGTAAGATTCATAGTCTTATAAATATTATCTTTATAAATTCTATTATTATTAGAAAATATCAAGCTTCTGTTACAAGTATTTAGTAAGATGTCTTGTTCAGATTAGACTGGCCGCCGGGATTATGAATTTCACATTTAATCTTATTTAGTCTGATCTTATACATTTCTTGGCATGAATTCTCCTGGGACTGGCTATCAAAAAACCATGTAAAGTGACTATATATCAGATCTTAAAATGAAATCATGACTTGAAAAAAATGAGAAAGTAGTTTCATTTGATCTCATTTAGTCTCATTCTTGATATAAAGTTACTATTTTTAGACATTTTAAGGTTTTTTTTAGACTATTTTTAATTTTTTAAAAAGTAACACTTTTTGATAATACTCAAATGAGATTTAAAGTCATTTAAAGCAATAAAAATAATTTAAATTGAGAAGTGAAAATCATGATCTCATTTGAAAAATGTGATAAGAGTAGACAGTAAGTCTCACTGAGACAGTATTAGACTACTATCTAATGTTAAAACCATGTAATGAAATCAGTCAAATTGATAATGAGACTATCAAAAAATCTGATTCTAGTCTCAGACACGGTCACACAGTCAGTCTAGTTCAGATAGTTAGACAAGTTCTAATATAAGATTATAATTAAAATTATCAACTTTATATATGTAAGTATCTTCATGTTAATATTCTCTTATATCTATATTTAGTTTTATTATGTAATGAGTACAAACATCTTTCAGATTATTAAATTTCATAAGAAGTCAGAGTTTTGATAAAGAAATACACTGAAGATTATAACATCTTACAACTGAAGATTTTATCATTGCATAGTAGTATAGACTGCTGTCTATCATGACTTTCATATTATACATGTTATCAATCACAGTAGATATAAGAATTGCATTCATTATCATTTTCTCTTTAAATTATTATCATTCAATCTCTTCAAGCTTCTGTTAATAAATTTGAACAGAAGTTAATCTTTTTGCTGTTTTATCAAGATATTCTTATAGTTATCTTTCAAATCTTTCTCTAATGTAATGTAATTGACATGAACAGACACTGATTCATTCTTCAAATGAGAAGACACTGATCTTTCTCTTAAGTATGAAAATATATACATCAATTGACAGTTGAAAGCAATGTATTCTGATCAGTTACAGTTAATGTATACTTTATATTAACATTAATCA